AAAATAAACGGTTAGTGGAGACGGCTTACAAATACTCCCTCTAGCCTCTTTAAACTCTGTGTTGTATTGTTTATTATTTCAAAGGTGTATTATTAAAGAAAGTAAATGATTTATGCTCGTTTGAGTGTAACGAATTAGAGCATAAGTGAATAGAGTGTAAAGAAGCAGAACAAAAATAAATGCATGGTAATTTGAGATCATATCTGAGAGTTGCCTCCAAGGACGTTCTTATTTGTGAATTGAGCGATTCATTGGGTATCTTATTTCACGAATGATAAAATAGGTACGTAACATCTTCTTTTATATACCATTAAAATGACCTTAATCAAACATGCGTAGAACCGTTTTAGTTTAATTATTCTGTTAGGCAGAAATTTTGAATGCCTTTTATATATCTACAAGTATAGGATAGTGTTTGTTATTAAGCATTTGCAAAATTTTATTTAACAAGAGTGGCGCATCACGTAGTCCATTTAACATTTTGTCATTTTTTTTAAAATAAGAAGGACAAACATGTGTTTTGAAATCAGAAGGTTTATTGTTTTAAATGTTATTTCAGTTATACTTGGACAGATCTTCTGTGAAAAAATTAAGTTATATCAAACAGATGGACGGGTAAACTCTATTTCAAAATCTCAAGAAGTGCGTTCGTTGATTGAGTGTTCGGTTCTTTTTGAAAATGATATGGATAGCTTATCTTTTAATTACAATAAAGAAACCCGGGTTTGCGAGCTGAGTAACAACTATGTCGAGGGGTCCACGACATTCCTTACGGGATGGAACGTGTACTCTCCAATTGGTAAATATTACTGTCATCATTGTATCAATATCATAATAATAATTATCATTTAATCATTAATTATCATTACAAAAGATAATAATAATAATAATAATAATAATAAATAATAATCATCATCATCTTTTATCATCCTCGCTATATAATCCTTTTTGTGCTATTTTAAGTGTCAAACGTCACACTTGTCGCTCACTGCATAACATCGAAAGCGACAAGGAAACGACATTTGAATTGCAGCGTGTCACGTGATGATATGCGATACGATGCTTGATAATTATACAAAATGGAAGTATTACATATCTTCACGCATTTTCATTACGTTAACGTTTAACAAACAAACTTATGCCAGCTTTTGCGGCTGTAGTAGCACCATCCGCTTGTAGTGAATTAATACCTATGTTCAAATCTTAAACGACTTCTTTTTAACGCAAAATAAGACCTTCTCTAGCCCGCGTGTAACTGAGAGGCTTATCTTTGATAATAAGTTTACAAATGTATTGTGACCGATAGCAAGGCATAAATAAAAATATATTATCTGTAATAGATAAACCTGCAACACGCATGTAATGTTGTTAAATTGTTTATGGACAAGTTTCAGGCTCGCCTATAGAAATAGAGATACGGTAACCATGGAGGTACTGGTCGATTTTACTTTCTCCCATACGGATAGTTAGAAACACGTGAATCATGAAAATAAACATCATAAAACCTAAGGTTACTTAATGCTACAAAGCGCTTTTAGAATCATGTATTACTAAAATAAAATCATTTTCAATGTATTTATCATACAACAATATTAAATTGCCAGTTGTTACGGGCTTCAAGCGAATTTTTCACAAACAAATTATCAGTAGGAGAGTGTAAATTTCTCAAAGGATAAGTCCACTATAAACTATACAAACCATAAGATAGAACTATGATTTATATGTCAATTAATTCCATAACCAACTATTCAACATGAATTGGCTCATCGGGTAGTCCTACACTTTCTTTACTTGTAGTGAAATCTTACCATTTTTATACGTCCGTTTGAAAACGGGTCGTATTATATTTTCCATCTAGCGTGCGGGCGGTGTCCAATTATTGTCCGGATCATATCTCCTAAATTCATTGAGGAATTTTAATGAAACTTCATAGAAACGTTTACCACTATTAGAAGCCGTGACGTGCGCATGAACCAGTCTCTAAGTTAAAAGTTAAGGTCAGACTTAGAGGTCATTGAAAAACGCTTGACAGGAGCAAAACTTCTACATGCTTAAACGGATTTCAAAATAACTTGGCACAAATATTCACCATTGTAAGCCAGAGTGTCGCGTGTAAAATTCAGGTCTCTGTGACTAAGGTCAAAGTCACACATAGGGGTCAAAGTTCAGATAAAATTATAAAAAAGGTGTATTTGGACCATTTAGTCATTATTTATTGAGGGCTTGGAACACAAATTGTCACCATCATTACTACTGGTGTGAAACATGTAATTTAGGTTAATATATATGCAAGGTCAAGGTCAATAAAAATGAAAGTTAAGGTCACTAAAGATGATAAAATATAGAGATATTGTGGGAGCATATCTCCAACACGCGGGAGGAATTTAAATGAAACTTCATAGGACTTTTCAGCACTATAAGAAGCCGTGTAGTGCGCATAAATCAAGTCTGTATGTCAAACGCTTAACATGAGTAAACCTTCTTCATGCATAGAGGGATTTAAATATAACTTTGCACAAGTATTTACCACTGGGAGGCAGAGTTTCGCGTGCAAAATTAAGGTCCCTGCAGCAAAGGTCAAGGTCACACATAGGGATCAAAGATCAGATATGATAATTTATTCATCATTTGAGCCGCGTCATGACAAAACCAACATAATGGGTTTGTGGCCAGCATGGATCCAGGCCAGCGTGCGCATCCGCGCAGTCTGATCAGGATCCATGATGTTCGCTATCAGTTTCTCTACTTGTAATAGAATTGGTAAGCGAACAGCATGGATCCTGATCAGACTGCGCGGATGCGCAGGCTGGTCTGGATCCATGCTGGTCGCAAACCCATTATGTTGGTTTTGTCATGTCGCGGCTCATTTATTGAGGGATTAAAATACAACTTTTCATTACAATGACTACTGGTGTAAAACTATTTATTTAGGTTAATATATGCAAGGTCAAGGTCACGAAGATGATAAAATATAAAAATTTTGTCCAGAGCATATATCCTCCACACATGGTGGGATTCTAATAAAACTTCATAGAAATGTTTACCACTAGGAGAAGCAGCGTTGCGTGCATGAAACAGGTCAAAAGGTCAAGTTCAAGCTTAAAGGTCATTGAAAGAGGTTTGTTCGGAGCAAATCTTTTACATTCATCGGAGGATTTTCATGCAATTTGGTACAAATGTTCACCATTGTGTGGCTTATTGCACACGTAATCCAGGTCCCTACTACCAAAGTCAAGGTCACATAGAGAGGTCAAAGTTTGTGTACTGGGACCATATAGTTATCATTTAGTGATGGATTTAAACGCAAGTGATAACTATCATGACAACAAGTGTGACACATGTAATTTAAATTCTTTGCTTTATTCTTAATTTGACTATTGAGGCCACTGATATTAAAGTCAATACCTATCTAGATCTTAAATTTGTTGTTATGATCTGCTTGAATCTTTTGCATGAGACTTAATTTCACAAGGTGTGAAAAACTGTTGTTATTGGGTTATTGTATGAAATAAAGTGAGAAGGTAAATTTTAGCGTAGTTTAATGTTGCTTTTAGCAAATTTATTTTGTGAAGAATTAATTTTTATTTGATAGGTGATTTAATATGTATATCATATAATTGATATTGAAATCTGACCAAAGAGAACTTAATGTTAAATTAATTCAGAAATATGTTTTCCTCTCTTCAGATATAAAAGCATACTTTTATAATGTATTTTATATTGTATTTGTAGATTAAAATACATACTGTTTTTCCATACATTGTAAAATGACTAAAACAGACCATGCTCATAAAGTATGTAAGCAATGATAAGAACAATTAAGACCACCCCACAAGGCTTTTACTGTATAAATTTGAAACAAATGTTAAACTGTATCATGTAAAATAAAGGCATTCTTTGTTAATCAAATTGTAATCAAAAATACTGACTGAACTTTAGCTGTAATTGATTAATTACAATTAAATTAATCATTTTTGGCAAGGTATTCAATTACATGATGATTACAGTGTAATCATGTAATCAATTAAAAAATCAATGATTACAATTAATGATTACCCCAGGTTTGCATATAGCATAGGGATAACTTCTCCGTCGTTTATCCATCTGTTCGTTTGTCTGACTGTCCGTCAAAAATTTGTCCAGACTTCTCCTCAAAAACTGCTTGTGCAATTTCATCAAAACGTAACAGAAATGATCAGTACCAACTCTTGTGCATATCGTTGCCATTTTCCGGTCATGGTCCTTGAATAAAATAGGTGGTATTTTGGTTGTGGCCAGCTAAACAGAAGTCTGAATCTTTAAAGATTGTCCGGACTGCTCCTCTTATACTTTACATGCAATGTTAATGCATTTTTACAGAATTATATTTTTGGCAGATTTATTGCCGTTTTGAAAATGTGTTTTTTGTTGTTGTCCGGAGTACTTCTCAGAAACCATAGTGCAATACCATCCAAACTTTACAGAAATGATTTGAACTAAGTTTAGTTGTGCATATCATCTGCTGTTTAAGGTGCAATGATATTTATAGTTAGTTATAGTCCTTAAATAATTTATATTTTCAAAGTTTGTCCGGACTACTACTCTTATACCACTAATGCAATTTCGATGAAATTTTTCAGGATTGCTTTTTTGGTCAAGTACTCGGGTAGTTTGCTTGAATGATTTTTGGCCGAGTTATGGCCCGTAAAATTAAAAGGGTGTCAATAAAATTCGTCCGGACTACACCTCTTATACTAAATATGCAATTTTAATGAGACTTTACAGGATTTATTGGTAGCTCAAGTACTTGCGCATGATTTACAATTGTTTGCTTGAATGATTGTTGGACGAGTTATTGCCCTTGAATAAAAAAGGTTATTTTTTTGTTGCCAGCTACTCAAAAGTTTGTCTGGACTACTCCTCAGAAACTACTGGTGCAATTTCATTAAAACTTTACAAGAATGATCAATACCATGTCTAAGTGCGCATCTCAGAGTTATGGCTCTTAAATGATTTTAATTATTCAAATTTGTCCGGCCATCTCATCCGATACCAATTATGCAATTTTGATTAAATTTTACAATACTGATCGGTAACTTAAGTACTTGTAATTATTACACGAACTTTCGAGTTGAATGATTTTTGGCCGACTTTTGGCTATCATGAGGCGAAAAGTGTGATCACGGATCGTTCATGTTAATAGAATGGGCCTAATAAAGATAAGATTATATGGCGAAAATTAGTTTAGTTGTTGACTGTGGCATGCGTTTCACAATGTCGGTTTTAACAGGTCTGTTCAACAAATCACAATTGTCCAAATTTTTTACAGCGCATATTTAAAAGATTCAACAATAATTGATGAGATAAATAAAAAGATGTTTAATTTGTAGTGAATGGTGGTTGGAATACATGGCTAAGCTGGAGCGCATGCTCTGTGACATGCAAAACTGGAACAAGGACAAGGTCAAGGACATGTTCTAACCCATCGCCTAGCAACGGAGGACTAACATGCCAGGGTCTTGCCACTGAAAACGAAGTTTGCAACGAAAGAAATTGCTATCTGGGTAACCTAGTTTCATAGTCCCATTGAATACTGTTATTTCAAGTGCATTTTTAAGTATTGAATAATCTTATTCAGGACAAGTTTTAAATATCAAAATCTTAATAAGTTAGCAAAGAAACATGTTGGCGGACGTCTTAATCACTGTAGATAGACAGTGGACTGTTGGTATTTTGAAATTTTCTTTGAGATTAGCGGAATTCGAGTTACTAGGAGCTGCTGTAATGGATTTTTCAGATCCTTCAATAGTTTCAAATACAAAAAAATACGGCTGCCTGAAACGTACAGTATACTTAAAAATGAATACATCTTGGTGCAAACCTGTGATAATGTTTTAATAATGCGTGAAGTCATAAACGATTATTTTGCTAAAAGTATGAAGGTGAAATGAATAGACACAATTTTGTTAGAAAAATATAGGGCTTATTTAAAAGAAGTTTTGACAGTGGGTTTGAATGGAAAAGTGTTGGTATAATTGATTTTCTTTATTTTTTTTTCTTTTTTTTCAGCAAGTGACTTTTATTTCGGATCAGACATGGTTACGCAGCCGGAAGCAGTGGTAATTATTTAAAATTATTCTTCCTTTCTTGAATATTTTGTATATTTATTTCTCTTATATTAATGTCTATCCAACTTGTGTGTATCCGACCATTGTTTCCTGTCTTACGAAGCTTACAAAAGAGTTGTCATGACACCAAACAAACACAAAATTAGTAAAAACCATATCCATATTATCCATCAAAACATAACGGTTTGTTTTTGAAAGAAAGAGATTTTTATTTTATTGTTTAAAGATATTCTTATCGTTTTTAGTTCGATTATTCGAAAAGTATGGGGATATTTTTTACTTACTCTGGCGTTGTCATCGCAGACACACTTTTCGGTTTTTGCGTAAAAATAGTTGTTATCTCCAAAACTACTGAAGAGAATGCGTGTAATTTCGCACTCTTATTTGAGACAATAATAGAAGATCACTATATAGTTCTTACATTCTACCATGGATTTGACCGAATTATCGCACTTTCAAAATTGTACATAATCTAGGTTTTTGACCTATTATCAATCATTTTGAAAGTTTGTTTGTCATCATTTTTTGTTTTTATTTGTTTACTTTTTCCTGTTAAATTGTCGAAGAATTTGTCGTATTTACAGGCTTTCTGTGAAGATGTATCTGCAAGGCTTGTTATTATTGACAGTCAAGAAAAGTTGGAGTTTCTTGAATCCAAAGTATCAGGTCGATAACACATTTAATTTATATATGTCTTATATGACGTCATTAAAGGTCTTTAGTAAATATTCAACCTGCAAAAGCTTTCCAAATTGTTTCACACTATGTCTTGAATGGCGGTATTTTTTTGATCACTTGTAATAGATACTCCTTTTATAAAGTAAGTTTACTTTTTTAATAACCCAAACAACTACATCCATAGTGAGATTTTGTAATGTTCTGCCTAGCTTGTATGTTAAGTATGTGCGATAACAAAACTTAATGTACGTCATATAAAGTACCGTTTCTGCGGCGACAATTCATGCTTGCCCTTTCTAAAGACTTATAAAAGTCTTTCTTTCTGAGGCATAATGTGCCTTTAATAGAAATGAAGACATATTGCATTGTTGCAAATGTCTTGTAACATTTACACCATCGTTTACTACGCTGTCATGCACGTGGTACCGCATTCTTTGCTACTGCCATGCGTATTTAGTATTGCTGAGACTCTATATCATTTGAATTATATCAGGGGAACTGATCAATATTATAATACTTAGTAAATTAATCAAGTATCTGAAATTCTCCAAAACCATTATTTAAACATTATTGAAACTCGATTACGACGAGTTTTATTGCTAAAACTAAGAATAATAGATATTTCTTTTCAGGGTTTTATCATTGGATCGGCGCTACTTGTACCTCTGGCACGAACTGCAAATGGGTTGATGGCAGAAGCGTTGATTCTGGTTTCACGGTTTGGATCGCCTTTTAATTTCCAAGATATTAAAATGTCACTGCCCATTCATAATAACACACCAATTGCTTGTTTAGTATTTAAAACATCTTCAATTGACATTGACTAAACACGGTGGAGTTTTCAACAATTTAGTGAATGCTTCCATAGTTATTATGAAATGAATTAAGCATTATTTAAGGTTATGCAAACTGTCAAAGTTTATGTAACTATTAAAATGCATGATTATTGTTATTATTCATGTAGTTTACAGACGAATTGTTTTTGCAGGCATGGGCGCCCGGCGAGCCCCTTGGTAATGATTGTGTATGGATTGGTTACAGGGTAAACAAATGGGATGATTGTTCCTGTGACAGTTCCGCTAAACCTCTGTGCGAATACATTTAACAAATCAAATCCTACATACGTGTAAGGATGTATTTACGTTAACAGTTTTCGATACAAATGTGACCTATAATAGGAAAACGAATAATTTAAAACAAAGGTAATTTTGAAACTACTAAGCTAAGTTAATGACTTCATCTTTATGACTATCGGCCTGAAAATGGTTGTTATAAGACGCTTTGGTTTATATTATTATTTTTACTCAACACAAGCCATGTGAAAATCTGATCATTTGAATTAAATTTATAGGAGAAAATATTTAATACAATTGATTGTTTTCTTCTCCTCTCAAAACAATGTATTTTGATGACATTTTAATTCCGTGTTTATACAGCAGGTGGGTAAAAAATGTTTTTACTGTTTTCAAATTTCCTAGCATTATTCATTAGTTTCATCATTGCTATTGGTACTTCTCGGAACAAGATTAAAACACTCTCAGTTTTTCAGCAATTCCAAATTAGATTTTTTTTAAATGTTTTCTTTCTTAAGACTCCTAGGGTACATGTTATGATTTTTTTATGAATTTATTATTTGTTTATTTTTTACCAAGAACTGATATTGCTGATAAATCATGTAATTAAGGAACTTCTTCAAATAAACATATGAGCCACGTCACGACAAACCCAACATAGTGCGTTTGCGACCAGCATGGATCCAGACCAGCCTGCGCATCTGCGCAGTCTGATCAGGATCCATGCTGACCGCTATCAGTTTCGCTACTTGTAATAGAGTTGGTAAGCGAACAGCATGGATCCTAATCAGACTGCGCGGATGCACAGGCTGGTCTGGATCCATGCTGGTCGCAAACGCACTATTTTGGTTTTGTCCTGACGCGGCTCATATGTAATAGGTTGTAGGCTAGAGGTGATATTGCATTCATTAGTAGTGAATACATGTTTTTGTTGTTATATATAAATAGGATTTCATTTGAATATTTGTAGCCTAACGTTATGATGTCTTTATATCAAACATTTGTTTGCAATTTCTGTTTTCGGCAGTAGGCTCTAGCATGCATAATGTTGTCACGTTTTTCGTAATCAATTGATTTATAAAACATTTTGTTTTTGATGTTTTGATTCATTACGATAAGTTTGGGAAAACTCAAAGCAAAGATATTACTGTTGCATTGTACTTTCCTAAACAGTGTTCATGTATTATATAAAATGATAGTTCAATGATACAAAAATGATTTCTAAACTAAATTTATCAAAAGTAGTTAATGCTGAGTATTATCATAAAAAAGATGGCTATTTCGTTTTTTCAATACCTTTTTAATATATTGAAATATTCAGAAATAAAATAAAATTATTCAATCATATCACGCCCGGCAAACTGTCGCTCCACTTCAAAATTGTGGTGTACGGTAAAACGAGCGAACGGCATTTCCGAGATAGAGCGGAAGGCCGATTTTAACGCCTAATTGTAAGTATTGTTAATGTTTTTGTCTTTTTATTCATTTAAGTTGTACTTTTTCGAAAAACGGAAAATGTGGTTCCGTGTAAGATTGATTTAGGCTTCCAATGATCTAACCTGTTACAAAAAGAAAATTATATTAAGCCCGGGAGAACTTTTCTCCCTGACGAAGCGAACGATGATTTGTAGAATATTGAACTTCCCAACCATAGAAATGCCATACCCTTCAGATTTCTTGAAAAAGTTTATTAGTAAATTATCAACCCGTTATAAGAACTTGTCCTTCGTGCAAAATAAATTACTACTGAAGGATTTCTTAAATTTGTAAACCGATATTTTTCGAATGTAGTGGAGCGAAAAGGCAAGAGATGGAGCAAAAGGTTCGATGTTGAGCGCAAGGCGATATTAATTTCACAAAATCGAATATTTTTAGTTCTATCGCGAACAAATGTTTCCGAGCAGGTACGTGTAACTCGATTGTTCACGCCAAAATGTTATGTTTTTCGAAAAGTTCAAATATTCAAGGTGCAAAACACAAATAAGCCACTTTTTCCTGAATTTGTAAGGTGGGGAATCGCTATGAAAATGGTTTACAAGGTGTCAGTCTTTATAAGGATATAACACATGTTCCAGTTATGTTTCAAGATACTTCCTCCCTTATTTAGCATTGTTGTTTAGTTTATTATTTTCGTCTGTAAGTGTAAATAGAAATTTCTACTATAACTAGGTCTATTATATTATTGATAATTTTAGTCCGTACACCGACTGAGTTCTGCCTCACTTTGAGAGGAAAATAATAAACTAAACAACAATGCTAAATAAGGGAGGAAGTATCTTGAAACATAACTGGAACACGTGTTATATCCTTATAACAACTGACACCTTGTCAACCATTTTCATAGCGATTCCCCACCTTTCAAATTCATGAAAACGTGACTTATTTGTGTTTTGCTCAGAACAGGTACGTTAGAGCTATTAATTACAGAAAGTCATTGTGAACTGAACTTGGTAGTAGTGATCCATTTAATTTAATGCGTTCCATGGATTGCATAATTTTGTTTCTGTTCTGCACCTTGAATTTCTAACTTTTCGAAAAACATAACATTTTGGCGTAAACAATCGAGTTACACTTACCTGCTCGGAAATTTGTTCGAGGTAGAACTAAAAATATTCGACTTTGTCGCATTTAGTTTAAACATATTTTATTTCAAACATTTTCACACAAACATATATTACATACAATCAATAGTTACATAATATACAATGCTGAAAAAGGATTAGATCCGAAAGCATACAATGCTTATAGAGGTCTTTTCCTAACATATAATTCATAACTGTAAATTTGTTTGTCGCATTTGCACGGACACACGTTTTTAAATGTACATAACCATGTCAAAAATCATGATTGACCTCGAATAAGTGGCATCCTGTATTATGCCATGCATTAATGTGTATGATTCAATGGTCGGGCCTCATCCAAATTTCGAACATAAATAATGGAATCTACACGGCAGCCATAGCTAGGTGACACCTTCGCGATTACAGTTATTACGCTATAGTCGTTGAAAGGATATCACAATTTATTAGTTCTCTTTAAAAGGTATATATATCTCGTTCTTAACACTTGATCATGTCTATTTTAACTTCTATAGCTTTTATTTATAAAAATCATTGACTACGCACCTCCTAATACGTCAAATTAATATCGCCTTGCGCTCAACATCGAACCTTTTGCTCCATCTCTCGCCCTTTCGCTCCACTACTTTCGAAAAATATCGATTTACAAATTTAAGAAATCCTTCAGGAGTAATTTATTTTGCACGAAGGACAAGTTCTTATAACGGGTTGATAATTTACTAATACACTTTTTCAAGAAATCTGAAGGGTATGGCATTTCTATGGTTGGGAAGTTCAATATTCTACAAATCATCGTTCGCTTCGTCAGGGAGAAAAGTTCTCCCGGGCTTAATATAATTTTCTTTTTGTAACAGGTTAGATAATTGGAAGCCTAAATCAATCCTACACGGAACTACATTTTCCGTTTTTCGAAAAAATACAACTTAAATAAATAACAAGACAAAAACATTATCAATACTTACAATTAGGCGTTAAAATCGGCCTTCCGCTCTATCTCGGAAATGCCGTTCGCTCGTTTTACCGTACACCACAATTTTGAAGTGGAGCGACAGTTTGCCAGGCGTGCATATCTGGCTAATTAAATAGTTGTTTCTTTTAATCTTTATAAATAATGGAATCCACTTATATATTTTGACATGACTGGGCTAGAAATGTCACGAGTTGTGTGTCATTTAATGTAGCCCAGACGGTACATGTATACAAACTTTCAGATATGTCGCTCAATCCGTTTTACAGGAATGGTAATAAATAACCCCAAAAAGAGTTAAAATGCATTAAACCTAAATTGGGCTTTGAACCACATACAAAATGGATTTTCAATTAACATTTTAGCCTGTGTCTGCACCCATAATTAAGTAATAAGAATAAACAGAAAATTATGTTAGCCTCACATGACGTTTATAGCGACGACGTCAAAACATAACGATGTGTTAAAAATAATATATCCCAAACAGTGATATAAAAATAATAATAATAATACTAATAATAATGATATTTAAGACTTTATTTAACGAGAGAACTCATTTGAACAAAAATAACAATCTTCCGTGAGGCCCTCAACAAGGAGCAATATAATTTAACATATTCAAACTATCAAAATGCATACATGTTAATACATAAGGGAGATCATCAATTTGTGTACATCGATGTGTGATAATATCTCAAGTATAAGGTTTAAAAATGGTTAAGAGATGTAGCAGACTTGATATAATCAGGAAGGCCGTTCCAAATACAAGATCTAGAATAAACAAAAAACTTACAAAATTGTTCAGTATTTGGTCAAGGGGTGTAAAGTTGAATATCAGATGATGAACGCAAAATGCGAGTATGAACATCTGACGATAAAATGAAATTATTCAATAATTGGAAGGCGCCTGATTATTCATTATTTTAAACGTCATAATAGCTTTTTGAAAAACAACTCTCTGTGAAAAGGTAATCCAGCGAAGTTCAGAAAATAGGTCAGCAGATTGAGTGTCTAGACTCTTTGTCTAGAATTAGTCTTGCAGCTCTCTTTTGGAACTTAATGAATTTATCTTCTAGAAAAGGCGTACAGTTACCGTAAATTATGCAACAATAGTCAAGATATGTAACATATATGCATTGTAAAACATTTTACGTACAGGTATAGATATGAATAATTCTATACGAGATAATAAATGTAACAATGAATTGCATCTTTTAAGAACACTATCAATATGCCAATTTAAAAACAAGGTGTTATTTGTTGTAATACCCAATATTTTTTCTTCAGAGCTACAAACAATTTGCTCTGTTTTATACGAAATACAAGGATATCTTTTCATAAATACAGTTTTGCTTGTGTTTTGAGGAAATATACATGACCTTAGACATGCGATTCAAAATACACCATATGTTGGCATTTAAAAGATCATGAGTAAGAGATTCAACTACTCTGTTAAGGACTACATCAGATGTTGAAAGACTGGTGTCATCAGCAAAAATATCAATTTCTGTTTTTTTCCATAGACACAGGCAGGTCATTGATATAGATTAAAAACAGTATAGGACCTAGTACTGAGCCATGAGGAACTCCAGTAGTTACTGAACTTGACTCTGAATATAAACCAGATATGCAAGTTTGTTGGGTTCTGCAATCTAAATAGAAGGAAAACCAAGCAACTGAAGAAGGCTATAAGATGTTCCATTCTAAGCTTTTAACTAATAATATAGTGATCCACATAGCCAAAAGCTTTAGAGAGATCTAGAAAAAATGAACCAAATATTTCGTTTTTGTCAATAGCTGTA